GCCCTCGGGCCTCCGGAGCCGGGCACCGAAGAAGTAGCGATAGGGCCGTCGCTCCCGCAAAAACCTAGCTGCGTATGTGGGACGGCTTGCTTGCCGAGAGGCTTGTAGTCAGCGCGGGTCTTCGTAAGGGAGACCTGGTTAAGGTTAATTAAATAAAATAATAGTTCTGAGGCCAGGCGTAATTTTTTTTGAAGGTAGAATTAGTTAACCAGCAGTGATAGAATGAACGAGGATTCTTTTTACTGCTACAGCCCCCCTTCCCTCCCGGTTTGACTGTTTTGGCTGCAGTCCGCTGTAGGGCACAGCGCACGTCGAGCCCTTCTGAAACGGAACATCCGAGTGGCGTCTGCAGCGCGTCAAGCCCACGGCAGCGCGGCGTTTTGTCACGGCGCAGCAACAGTCGTGGCTCTCGAGCCCGGTGTCGGTGCACCAGCTCAGCTGTGGTTTTGTTCTTGTTCAGGCTTCGTGCGTGCAGTACCGTTTGGTGGTTCGGGATGTGAATACCCTCCAGATCCTCCAGCTGTACACGTGCCTGGATCAGATCCAGTACATAGAATGGTCGTCTGATTCTCTGTTCATATTATGTGCCATGTACAAGCGAGGGATCGTTCAGGTAAGGGCAAAAGCAGGGCAGAATATGTTTCCTATTGGGGGTTCGTCTGTGGTGTGAGTGAGAGCTTCTCAACAGCAAGCGCTAGTTCGATGCTTTTGCTAAAGCAACTGACATTGTTATCGATAACGTGTGGTTTGAAGATAACCCAGCATGCCATTATTTTTAAAACCATGACAAACATCTTAGTTTGGGGAAAAAAAAAAAACCAAACAAATTTAGAATAAAAATATTTATCAAAACAAATCAAAGCTGGAGATTATCTTACCAGTTTCTCAGTTCAGTAGGAAATAAATACATGCAAACTTGTTAAATGGACTTAAACTTTTTTTTAAATGTTGGATGTTGAGAATATTTGTCACAGGGAAAAAAGAAACCACCTTACTGTACAATTTGTATTAACACGCAGAGGCGTGGGGCTTACTTTTGTAGTGGGATCCAGCGCCAGTCCTTCATGGCCACGGGCTTTCAGAGGTTTCCTGACCTCCCTGGTATGCGATGCAGGAACCTTTTCTCAGCTGTAGCGTATTCTCCTAAGCAGAGGTGTTGATGAGCTGTTCGTTTGGTGCACTGTCTGTTTGGTTTCCTCTCTGACCTAGGTCTGGTCCTTGGAGCAGCCAGACTGGCACTGTAAGATAGACGAGGGGTCGGCAGGATTGGTGGCTTCATGCTGGAGTCCGGATGGTCGTCACATTCTCAATACAACGGAGTTCCATGTAAGCGTGAAGTCATGATTGCTCTCGACGGTGTCAGATGTTACTGTCTGCCCTTTGCCTCTTAAAATAACCTAAAGCTCTTAAAGCTGTAGCGGTGGTAAAGAACGTGGATATAGTTCTCCTATATTCAGATACGTAATCTAGGTTAATTCCAGTTTAGATGTTAGCTGTTCTGTTAACATTTTATTCTCTTGCATCTGATGATAAGATAGAAAATGGACACTTAGCTTTCAAGGTAAAATTATGTGTTTGAGAAAAGTGTAGGGATAACTGGCATTCATCAAAGCAATTTTAGAAATCAAATGTGTTGTAGTTCAGGGAAGGCTCAGGGTTTCTAGCAAAAAAAACCCCAAACCATAAACATTTAAGAGTGGCTATGGAATTAAAAAATATGATCTTGGGATTATTGACCTATGAGATGAGATTTAGATCCAGATCCTGGAAATACTTTCATAATTGTTTGATTTTACACATAGGAGTCAGATGGCTGTTGATAGAACCACTTGCAAAATTAAAATTAAAACGTGTGTAAGTGCTGATTGATTAAGAGCCACATTCTGGAATCCACACATGTGTAAGTGCTGATTAAGAGCCACATTCTGGAATCCACACTAAGGTAGAATCCAAATCGGTTTGTGGATGCCGGACACTGGGCTTGTTAGAAGGCATGTGGAAGTCTGACTCTCCACCTTTATGGTCTTCGCATTAGAGCTGACGATTCATGTTATTCAGTACAATGATGAACGGTCAGAAAATAGCTAAGAACTACATGCAAGACATTTTTCTCTTTGCTGTATTTACTCTTTCAAAACCGTAGATGGATTTTAGATGACAGGTTATCGTGTCATAGCCCTTGCTAGCACTGAATTCAAATGTTACACTGTAAGATTTTTCCTTTTTTCATACAAATCCCAATGTAAATGGAATATAGATGGGGGACTTTGTCATCTCTGTGCGGACTTGAGTTAGTGCAAGTGCTGGTGCTCTCAAGGGAACCTGTGGAGAAACTTGTATGCAGCTACGGTGTAGTTCCTGATGCACACACGGTGGAATTTCGTGCTGGCAAGGATTTTTAGTGCTGACTGGGGTAGAGATTTTCTGGCTATAAAGCAGTTTCTTTCCATTCCCCTACCCCTTTAGATAGTGGGTGACAAGGAGGGATGAATTCGGGCCTTAGTTTTCCCAGGAATGAATCACCCCTTTGGCGATTAAAATAAAAAAAGTGAGTAAAGAGTTTTAACCTGAAGTCAGTGAAGACATGCCTGCTAGTCAGGCAGAAGTGTTGTAGTCTGAGTAACCCAAACTGAAGGCTGGTGCTATGTGCTACAAGTGAGTATCTCATGGCACGTGCATGTGGGGGTGGACTAGCAAGTATTTATTGCCTCCCAACAGAACTTGGTTTGACCTTAGAGGATTTCATTAAGCCTTTGCCAAGTTGGCATATGTGTTGGGATAAGTTTTCTTTCCAGCTGTAAACAGGTTGCTAAATTAGCTTTTGTCAGACAGCTGCCTGGGTTATGCTCATGTCTGAGTTGTGTTTACTCTCTCTATGCTAAATCCATAGTCTGGTGGGACAGGCGTGAGTAGTGCTCGAGACAGAAAGTGTCAGGATACTTAATATTGGTGTATTATGTACGTTATCAAATTCAGCGATTGCTTGGAGGGCTTAGGGATTCCCTGTCAACCAGTGCAGCTTGGCTTTGGTAGCCTGACACTTCCAAACAGCACCAACTAATTACTCATACTTGTAATTCTTCGGGTCAACATGTGAGCTCCACTGTAAGCTCACAAATAACTTTCTTATTCCCAGAAATTTTTTTAAAGGATATGGTTGTGCTAATTTATTTCTAGCAATCCGTACTTACTAGTGCCTCAGAAAAATTACTCATCGGCTAACTTGCAGTGAGGTTCTTTTTGTAGTCAGCGTTATAGTGAATAATGTGGGGTTTTTGATGTGACTGGTGTGCAGTTCCTAACTCGCGATGAGTGCATCAGAATTCTGACACGTGTTTCCAAAATCCATTTTGACTCTGTTCAGTCTTTTGAGATGGGCAGCAATGCTCTATATGCACTTAACGTTAACAGAACTCTGCAAATGCGATCATTTTATTGGAGATGAGTCTGTAATAACGTGCAGGTTTTTGGGTCCCAGAATTGTTACACAATGTACAGTAATATTGAATGATACAGGTACCTATCTAAATCTTTACACAGTCACTGCAATAAACAGCATGGTATACAAGGCAATTAAATGGTACTGTCTTATCGGAGGAAGTATATAGAGACTCTGTCCTTTCACTTGAGTGTATTGTTTTTCACAATAACGGATTACTGACAGACGCAGAGGAATTTTACCATGCTTAATTACAAAAGTGTGGGTAGTACCTACTTACTTGCCCCAGAATTTTGAAAGCATCTTTGTGCTGTGTGTTAGCTTAAGTGTTATGTGTGGAGGGGTCATTCTGTCAGCATCTGGGATGGAAGTCCTGTTGAGATGTAGAAAAGATGTAGGCTTGTTCCTTAAACTCTTGCTATGCTGGATTGGAGGATTTCCTTCTGTTGGAGACTGTCAGCGCTGCTGCCCAGACTGGCAAACTGCAAGGTGAGATACAGACTTGCTAGGTTTTGCCAGGCAAAAACTAGTTTTACTGGGCAGCTGGATATATTCAAAGGTACTTCCAAACTTGGAAGGCTTTTTTTTTTCTTTAATTGTCTGCTTATATCTTACAGCTCCACATGAGAAGTGGTCAGAATAGTTGCAACTTGATTTTTCATCACCTTGTTGTTTATACCAAGCTAGAGTACAGTTCTGTTAGGAAAAGCAGGGGTTTTTTTGGGGAAAAAAATGGAGGTACTTTTTTCTCAGTTGATTAATCAAAGCAAGTCTAAATTAGTTGGAAAAAACACCTTCTGAAAGCCGGCTACGCAAAGTCTATCTGGAATCTGAAGAAGTTGGAACACCATGTTAATTATATTGATTCATGCAGTGCACTGGAAAGCAGCTTGTTGTCCCATAGCTATCGTTTGTTACTTATTTTGTAGTGGGTGATTCCTCTCCTGCTGAAATCCACCCTGTTTTGTGAGGCGGTTCCGCATGCCTACAGTGTGTAACGCAGCGAGCTGATTGCTAGAAGATTCCACATTATCGGTTTGTCCTGTGGAAGGTGTTGTAGCAGGTGTCTCTCCTCTCTCAGTGCTGTCATTCCACCCGAATTCATAGGCACATGTAGAGCTTAAACAAGAGCTGCAGGTAAAAGATACGGAGAAAGCAAATGGATCCTCTGCTTCCTTGTGACTTTCATGTTTTGTGATAAATAGTTTGAAGATCAGCAGCATTGTTCTTGAGTGTTTTAAGAGCCATACTTACAAACTACATATATTGTACTTTCTCTAGTTACACGTTAGGTACTGAAGCATTAAGGAGCTTCTTTCAAACTACAGCAGCGGGGGGAAAAAGTGTGTGTTTCTGTGTATATTGGAGCTAATCCTTAGTAACTGTAAATGGCTACATTGGCTGAAAAATGCTTTCTGTCGAGGAATGTGCTCTGAATAATCTTCTGAAATCCGGTGCTGACAGACACTGCTATGTAAGGAGGCCTTGTGACCCAGTCAAGTCTGGGACAAAAGTTGACAGTCATTTGAGATGCAAGGTTGTTTAAAAGTGTGTTTTTATCTATTGAAAATCACCAGTCTTACACCTGCCTATAGCTGTCAACATTGGGACGTAGTCCTGAACCCGGCACTGGAGACTGTTTATCACGTTACCATCTAAATACCTTTTATTTCTCAGCTGTTTTTAGGCTATTTTAAAAATGCTTCTGCTTTTGGTTTGTTTTTCCACTGCAAAACAACAGCTGAAAACTTCTCAGACACCATTATCATTAGCATTTGAGTTTGACAACTCCACTTAATCGAGTCATCTACGCTAAAGAGAAAGTACCCCTCAAAATGATCAGTGAAGAAGTGTTTACTGCAGACTTAATTGACCATGATCTGTTCTCCTGCTGTAAAAGCAACTGTCCCTTCCCCACAAAATGTCTGAGAAAAGCAAATAAGAGCAAGGCGATTTATTGTAATTTTTGAAGTGTTTTTGGTTTTCTTTTTTCACCCTCTGTGCATTTTATGTTTCTGTCTCTCATAATCATCTCTGCTAGCTGTGAAATAATCTTTCTTGGGCTAGTTTATGTTGGCAGCTTCGGCAAGATTGTGGAATAACGTTTCAGTTCCAGCTGGGAATATGAAGGTTCTCCCTTTGTCACAATTTAATTGTACACATATTGTTAATCCATGTAAGATAGGTCTGAAGTCCATATGTTAAGCACATAATGTAACTTTCTCAGTTTCTAAAAATGTTTGAGTGTACACAAATAGAACAACTGAAAAGAATCCTAATTTTGGGAATCAGAATGGTTTGCTTTTACATGTTGCTAACACTAGGCCAAAACCTTCAGGTTACGTGTTGCGTGACTTGGGCAAGAGGTTGCAATGAAGTTATGGCAGCGCATATACGTGGTCTCCGACTTGCAGTTGTGTCCTTCTCTTACTAGCTTGCAGCCTTTTCGGGAGGGAGAAATTATCTTATTAGCTATTATGGGTGTGTTGTGACCGACTTAGATAAAGTCTGAAGATGAAGTGCTTTGGTTATCAAAGGGTTGTAGGCATCCAGTGTAATAATAGGTCTTTGTTTTCAAAAGTATATTTTTGTGGGGTTTTTTTTGTAGACTGAGTGTAAACATCCCATGAGTGTGTTGGTTGCGTTCTGTAGTCACTCCCAAGTACGGCAATGCCATTATTGCAATTTATGCTATACATCCTAGAAATGAGGTGTTGGGGAGGTAATATGGGCACTGCTCAAACAATATCAGTGTTTAATGTTACCAAAACTTTTGGTTTCGTTGAAGTGCACGCACACAGTTAAGCAAAACGTGACAAGAATGAATGGGGAAACAATTATTAGTGTTTTCTCTGGGGAGTTACAAAACTTGACCCTTTTAGAGAAGGTTCTGTCTGAACAGCAGACAGAGGACTGCACCCAAGGATGAAGCAGAGATGGATGCGGAAGGACTTTTCAAAACGAAGGTGTCCTTGCCTTCTCTCTTCTGCGGTGGAGTCTCAGGCAAGGCAGAGGTGACAGCAAGAGCTCTGCACGTCTTTCTCACCTCTAGAGATTTTCCTCTTCCGATGTACTTGAGCTTGATGTGAGCAGTAAGGTTTTGCCTTGTTCTGAGGCTCTGAGCCAGCTGATGTGGTCCAGGATAGAAGTGTGTTTGACGCACAGCAGGCCAGGTAAGTTGATTGTGAGGCCAAGTAGCAGCACAAATGTAAACTTGGATGCCTTTGTCAGGAAAAATTATGATCCAGACCTTAGCATTCAAAGCTTGCAGCTGCTAAGCTTGTATTAAGTGGCTGTAGAATGCGTGTTGTGTATGCTGCGTGTTTTGGTCAAGGGGAGGAACAGCAGCAAGTACGTTTCACACTGCAGTTAATAGGAGCAAGCAGCATATCACTATTGCAGTTGCTATAGAAGAATGTGAGTAGGCATTGTGTTGGTATTTTTAAAGTAAATCTTGCGTGAAGAGCAGACTAACAATGCTGTATTTTTGTATGTCCGGAAGTGAGCAGTTGCAGTGATAAAACTTGATTAATGTTACTCACCTAGTGGATTCCTCTGGGACCTGCTAAACCTAAAGCTGGTACTATAGATGCCTAGTTGTAATTTCGTAGCTGTAAAATAAAGGAAGAGAATAATAAACACTGCATTAAATAGTGGTCCAATACCTTTTTTAACTTTGGATAGAAGTGGACTGGTATCCGACTTGGTTGTGCTCTTTCCTGTAATAAATTTTTTTAAAAAAATTGATTTCTCTTGTCTGCTCAAATCTCAAAATTTTCTTGTGTCTATAAAAAGCAGGTGGGAGAACAGCTAATGCTGCTCTTTTGCTTTGGGACTCTGCATATCTCTGGAGGGAGGCAGCATTTATTTGGATTCTGTAACTTGGTTTGAACACCATGTCAGTTACTTGAATCCTGCTTTCTGGCAAAAATGATCAAGTCAGCAATGAAAAAAACCCCTCCAAGTTCTGTTGCAATGTGTTGCCAGATAGAACAGATGCATAGGACCTTATGCCTTGGAGTCTGTCACCACTGAATAGTACCAATTACTTCAGAGAAGGAAAATGTGCATTGAGGACAAACATGCAAAAAAGTGTAGCGGAAACTGCCTCCCAAGACTGCTGGTGATGCTGATGGCCTGCATCCGATGCAGGAGGATGATGAGACGGTAGACAGTGCTGAAGTTTTATGTACATAATGAATCAGAAAGGTAGCTTTATGACCATGGTGCTTTATTGCAAAAATAGTTTCACCTGCGTCTCTTCTAGAATCTCTTACCTTGGTGCAATAAAATGTAAGAAAACACAAGAAAAAAATTACACTGGAAACATTCCTCACTCCAGCTATAAATGCAAAGGTTCACATGACATACTGATTAATGCACATATGTCTGGTGTGGCTGCCGTTGCTAAGGGAGAGTAAGTATTTGTTTTTAATTGAATAATCTGCAGATGGCAACGCAGAGCTTCCAGAATGCAGGCTGTGACCTTGAAGAGCTGTGGAGAGGCTTGTTTTGCAGCTGACTGCCTTCCCTGCAGTTTTTGTGTTTTATGGATGCACAAGCCTCCAGAAATACCCCAAACGAGATGTTTAGTGCCTTGCTTTGCATACCTTATTTTGGTTCTTTTCTAATTCTTTCAGTAATTACATAGTGTTGCCTTCTTGCGGGTGGCTGAGGAGGGAAGAGCAAAATGCAAAGTGGCTGTCAAAGCTGAGTGTGTCTAAAAGTTGAAAAATACAGCTAAATTTTCATACTTAAAAGCCTTGTCCCAAGAGGTATGATGTTCTTAAGCTGCTGTAACGTCTCATCCATTCATAAATGCAAGAGCCTTCTCATCTCTCTTCTAGAGTCTGTGATGAAACTGTGTTTTTCCAACTGGAAAGTGTCTATGTACGATACACTGGCAATCATGTAGCTAGATTCATGCTAATATCGGCGACTTCAATGTTAATGAAGAGCTTTTCTCCATATTGGTGTTCTGCATCTCATACCCCTCTAGAGTATTCAGTGTGCCTGTAATGTTAATTTGGAATAAGTAACCTTGCTAACTGAAGGCAGTTGGGAGATAATTCCTCGCAGTTACTTCTTAGGGCTTTGCGTTTGAGCTACCTAGAATAGCTGCAAAGTTTAATTAACCCCAGAGGTATATTGACCTATTCTGTGTTCTTGAACTTAGGTTTATGGGTTTCTATGTACTTGGTTTTTTATCTCCCAAAATAAACAAATACTTCCTTGTCTCTTTCTCTTTGTGACAGCTGCGGATAACTGTGTGGTCCTTGTGTACGAAATCTGTGTCTTACATCAAGTATCCCAAAGCTTGTCAGCAGGGTAAGTGTCACGAATCTAACACAGGAATGGTGTTTTTTAATGTGGCAGAAAGGGAAAATGAATTTGATGTGTAATGACGAAACAAGTGTTTCGGAATGGGGTCTGGCACCCTCCCTGCTGGGGGGGTTAGCTCGCCCTCGGGGATGCCGGTCTCTGAGATCAGCGCCTGTGTGCCACCTGCCGCCAGTGCACTAAGATCTGCTCTGGGGTTGTCACCTTCTCACTGTGAATGAAGGATTACGTCTGATCTATGTGCCTGTTCTTCAAATACACATCTTTCTGTTGTGTTCGCCTCCGAAGGGTCCTTTAAGACATTAAATTAAGCTGGATGCATTGGTGATGAAAAACACTAATCCAAAGTGGCTTTTGTCATCTTTTACACATGAAAAGGTTTGAAAGGGAGGCTCGTGTCGGGACTGTCGAGCCACATGGCTGTGGTTAGCAGTTTCCTGCCTGAGGCTTGTCTGTAGTAATATCCCATATACGACAAAGACAATTATGTATTACATATAAAATAAGAGTGGATGGGGACCTATGCCTGGAAGTCGGTGGAGTACCAATGGTTGCATAACTAATCCATTTAGCTAGACTAAATGAACTGTTTATTTGGAATCTGCTGTTCTTATATAACAACTGTCTGTCAGTAATCAAACGTGGTTTTTTTGAAGCATGCTGAAGTTCTGCAATAGCTGTGAAGCTGGATCCTTACAAATAGTATATTCAAAGTTTAAGAATTGCCAACACAAGCAAATTAGTAAAACTATGCATTGCCTTGATTAATGTGATCTTCTGTGAAGATATTTTTCCTTGTCTTTTTATTTCTCCTTTGAATTGGGAGTAACTGCTTTTCATTGAAGAATTGTCAGCTCTTCTGTCTTGTTTCCTCTCTTTTTTTTTTTTTTAATTAACTTTGTCTCATTGGCAGGGATAGCTTTCACTAAGGATGGCCGCTATATGGCAGTAGCGGAAAGACGTGACTGCAAGGACTTCATTAGCATCTTTGTGTGCAGCGACTGGCAGCTACTGAGAGTAAGATATGTCCTTGCCTTCCACTGCTTCTGCACAGACTACAAGCATATGTTGCACGCTGCTTTAAACTCACTTTGGTAGTCTGATTTTAGACTTGCCAATGCATTTTCTATACAGCATCTGACTCCTTCATTGGCCTGCAGGCATACTTCCATAGCAGTGTTCTGTTCAGGAGGCCAATATATACTATATGCACGTAAAGAATTTCTGATGGAATACAAAAGTTCGCCTTTAAATTCTTGCTTGAGCTTATTTACAATAAACTATGCTATGTTAATAATAATGAAAGTATCAAATGCTTGAAAAAGTGATAAGTGATCATTTGGAATGTATAATATAAATTGTCCTATTTTCTGTTTAACAGTGAGACTAGTCTGTGAAGGATGCACACTAGCATGTCTTAGGGGACCAGATAGATCTGAGAAATTAAAACCCGTTAAGAACTAGTCTGTACGTAGTGTCACCTCTGGTTCAGGAATTCTGAGTCATTAGAAGCTGATAGCAAAATTTGGGAAATACCACTAAATGCTTGTCATGTTCCCAAGCTCTTCCCTAATGATCCCGTACCTGTCTTTCTGAGGCAAGGAATTAGGCTAAATCTCTTGACTGATTCAGTGTAACTACTTTTATTTTCTTATGAAGTGCTGTTCTTTTTAAGGTATAGCAACTTTTTGCCTTTTCTGTAAAGGCAAACCAAAGAAACAGTGAATGCAGCATACTATTACAAAAGAAAATATTTCTGTTTCTACGCTAGCATACAAAAGGCTCTTTTGCATTTGTGGTAGCACTTAAAAGGATAAAACTGAGGACTATGTTAGGTCAGATGCAACGGTATTTGTTAGTATAATATTTCAAACGGTTTTCTTTTTTCTCTTTTGGGGGCAGCATTTTGACGCTGAAACGCAAGATCTGTTTGGGATTGAATGGGCTCCTAATGGCTGTGTTCTGGCAGTGTGGGGTACGTGTCTGGAGGTATGAGGAAAAAGCAGATTGTTTTCTTGGAGAGTTCGAGTTGGTTTGTAGCCGCTATGTATAAAGCAGTAACTAAAATAACTAGTGTTATTTTTTTTCTTGTAAACATAACAAAAGCTGAACTCAAACCATTTTAAATATTATACTTCTATTGGTAGTGGATGTCCTTATAAGTGTGTGTCAAACTGTTATGTAAATCTTTAATGACAGCAAATTATCTTACTAGCTTTCTTTCCAATTTATCTTGAAAAAAAAAAAAGTGATTGTAAACATTGCAGAAGCCATTATTGAAATAATGAAAGAATAATGAAAGAATTCTTCTGTAAGACTCTTCTACTGTTTTACTTTGCATTGCATTGCACAGTAATTTTACAGTTAAGTAAAAGTACTCACCCAAAAAGTTAGCAAGGAATATATAAATTCCTATCCTTTCTGCTCTGAGTAGGTGAACTTCTAGGTATAGAAAAGTGTCCTTCTGTGGCCACAAAGTTATGGGCAGCATGATCAAAACAAATACCCCTGGGAATGGGCAGGGTTGTAACGTCCCTGATCAGATGGCTTGCAGATGCTGAAGGAGCATGAGAGTCTTCCATAATGGCATCCGCTGCTGATGTTGTTGAAGAGCGTTGGGCTGGATGGGCCATCGTTCAGGCCTGGTGGGGCATCTGGGCTCCTGGGGACAGGGTGGACGTGTTCTGTGAGTGCCAAAAGAGCCAAACTGGAAGCCTAGAGCCTCTTGTCTCAAGTCACAGATAGGAGACCGTGCTCTTTGTATTTAACTTGCTGTGTTTTAAGCAGGGAGAGTTTGGAAGGAATGGCTTTGCCTATCTATGGCTTTTAACAATATTGTTAGTCTTTAGAATTAATTTGTTTATGTTTCAGTATAAAATATTGCTATACTCCCTTGATGGCAGACTGCTATCCACGTATCGGGCTTATGAATGGTCGCTAGGCATAAAATCAATCGCTTGGAGTCCCAGCAGTCAATTTTTGGCAATTGGCAGCTATGATGAAAAGGTAAGAAATAGGTTTATTTCCTCTCTTTTTATCTAAACCATTTGTAGAACTTGGTCATAACAGTTTTGTCTTGCAATGCTTTCTTGAATTAGGTGCGTATCTTGAACCACGTAACTTGGAAGAAGATCACAGAGTTTGAGCATCCAGCAACTATTGCTAACACCAAGACTGTAAGTATGGATCCAGAATCCATTGAAGCATTAGCAGCTCAATGTAAATAAGGGCTTGGGAAATTGCATGAAAACTTGGGGATGTAAGAAAAATAGAGGAATCCTTTCAAGTTTGATGGAATACGCACATATGATCCTCTCGGCTTTAGCACTAATAGATTCTCAGATGACTTCTGTCTTATGCCAGTGTATTTTGATGTACATGGTGATTGCGTTACAGATTTGGGTATGCGGATGATGGCAAACTGGGAAATTTAACAGGAGAGATTTGTCTCAGCTTTACACAATCCATGACTTTAAACAGCATTGGAACTGGATTGTGATCAGATTTACATCTTGTATGTACAAGCTCAGCCAGCTCACCTAAAGAGCGTTTCCTGTAAACGTCTGTCATCATTTATTTTTACCCTTGCATACATGTATATGCAAGGCCCAACAGATTCTGGATAGTTGGCAGCAGGCGGAGAGCTGTAGCTTTTGTTCCGAAAATCACAAGCTGTTCTCATCCATCAAGGTAAAAAGAACACACAGTGTAGCAGTGCTACATGCCACTGCAGAGGAAGGACTAGTCTTGTGTCCGGACAGGTATCCTGTAAGAGTTTACGTGTGTAGACTGTAAGTCTGCAATATTCACGTGACTGTGTTGATGCCTCTTAACCAGAAGCAAGGCATGATCAATTAAATGCACCTCAGCAAAACTTCTCACAACTGAAAAATGCCCTTGCTTCCAGTTAGGTATAAAATATGCAGTGGAAAACAAATGGAAATAGCTCTGTTAATCTCTGCTACACAGGCAGGAATTGCAGTTGGTGCATTTTATCCTGGTGCTTGCATTTGGGAATAATATGTTGTAGGCACACTATTAAAATATTTTTGCTATTTCCTTCTGCAGTGTTGCACTTTGTTCACATTTATTTATGATAGTATCCAATTAAAGATTCTTTGTTGCAAAAATGAAATCTATGTTCCCATTGTAATGAAGATGATTTATTGTAGTGCCAGATTTAGCTCTCAGGAATAATGAATGAGGTGTGCTCTGGCAGACTCATTCTTTGTAGACTTCAAGGTTTGGTTATTTTTCACAGGAGTGTTTTCCTGATCATGGTTCCAAATAGCAAATGATTCACTGGGAATTCTGGATTTGGTATTTGCCTACCGAAGCCCTTTCCTCCATTGATGAACTGGGGGATGCTGAGAGATAATACACTTGAAAATGAGCTAGTGGGATGTGGATGATTTGGTAATAGCCCATGTTCAAATTCTCTGAGGCCCTTCTGTAGAACTCTCACTTGTTTCTTTGTAGATTGTGTATAAAGAAGTGGAGAAATCCCCATCTGTTGAAACAGAGAGACTTTCTTTCCCTCCAACAAGAGCATTGGCTAGTTCTCTCTTCAGCACACAAAGTAAATGTAAGCCAAAGTTTACTGAAATGAGACACTTGAGTTTGCCGTGTGAAGTCTTTCTATAAATACACATTATAGGCAAACTCTGCCTCTTTGATACTGGAACGGATCCTCTGGATGCTCTGCTGAAGGCTCCCAAGTTAACTGAAGAGCTCCAAGAGCAGTAAGCACCCTGCTAGAGGGGATGCTGTCTGCCTGGTGGTTTGAAGGCAGGTTTAAAGACTAGCGGGATATTGTAGAAAAGAACTGTAATTGCTCGGGTGTAGAAATAGCAGCCAGATCTCAGTCTTGGAGTTGCTTGCAAAAGTTGTCTTAACATTGTGTGGATTTTTTTCTGATTGTTCAATCTATGCAATGTTATTTCATGACTTAGTTTAACCATTGCAGGTAATTGCTGGAATCAGATGAACTATTGCAATTAAGAATCTTATTGGAGTGTGTGGCGGTTCCAATAATTTAAAAAAAATAATAATCAGAAGGTGTTACAGTCTTGCTGTCTGTTTTAGGATGGTAGTTAATCCCTTGGGTATGAGGTTATGTAAAAAAGCAGAGCGTGCCATTTGGCTTTTGTCTAAGAAGCTGTAGTCATAGCAATGCTTTAAACTTGCCTCCAGACAACAGGCTTGGAAATATTAGAGATGGCAGACAATGTATGATTAGTATTTTTTTTCTATTTTTTTTTTACTGTCTCATTGTTTGTGGTACTGTAAATCATCTTTGTTTTGCATTGGTGTTTGTTTGAAATACTAGCTAAAAGGTAGTGGAAAATTTGATCTCTCCTTTTTTTCACAGTTTAGTCTCAGACTTGCCTGGATTTCCGGCCTTTCTTTTTTTGTAGAGGGGCAAGAATACTAAGCTGTTTATATGAAGATGCAATATCTTAAAATAATTGAAGTTTTTGATTGGAACGTCTTGGAGAAGAGTAAAATACGGTCCTATCACTTCAGAGACGAGGGGGTTTTTTAACAGTTGGAATTTAAATATTTTGTCCATTCAGGCTTGCTTAGTGAAGTACTTTTATTTCAAATTCCAGATGACATTTCCCAGGTGCCAGTTTCTTTACAGTATATCAAACCAGTTGCTGACAGGGCAAATCCCAAAATGGGAATTGGGATGTTGGCATTCAGTCCAGATAACTGTTTCCTGGCAACCAAAAATGGTAAGTTCCTACTGCCCTATATTAAAGGGGAAACCTACTCATTGTCTGTGGTGTGTTTTCATAAAAGAAACGAGGACAATAATTGGTCAGTTATTTTGCACTATGAGAAGACTCGTGGCCCTATTTAAAATCAGCTCTCCGTTGTGCAAACGTGTAACTACAGAGGAAATTCAGCCTGTGTCTTCTAGCATACGTAAAGTATTGTGAGCTGCCAGAACTGCTTATCAGTGCATTAACTCAGTCTTGGCTTTGCATTTAATGAAAATAGTATGCTTTTTATATTTCTTCAAATGTATGCGAGCTCACTGTATTAGAAAATGAAATACACAAATCTTTCCTCCTCCATTTACAGCAAGTGTCTCTTGAAAGGCAGAACTCTTCACAACCTGTAGTGGGGGAGGCTTTTGATTACCTCAAATAGTGAAAGTCATGTAATTAACCTTTAATCTTTCCCTTCAATGGTCCTGAAAGGCTGTTTATGTCTGGATGCAAAAGCTGTGGTTCAGATGCAAAACCCATCAATGGCAGCATAACTGTGAATAATTTGATAAAAGCCAGTGAAGGACTGGAAGACAAACTAAATCACTTCTTTTATCCTTTTTGCAGTATTTCCAAGGGAAAATTGAAGGCGCTGCTAGGCAAAGCTCTAGTGGTGTTAAATCTGTGGTGTACCTAAATGGTTTGTGTTGTGTTAGACCTCAATTAGTGCCCATTTCTTTAAAAGAAAAAAAGTGTGATCTTTTCATCCTTCAGGTATTTACACGATTACCTCTTCCTTCTTACAGATAACATTCCTAATGCTGTCTGGATCTGGGACGTTCAAAAGCTGAAACTGTTTGTAGTCTTAGAGCAGCTGTGTGCGATCCAATCTTTCCAGTGGGATCCACGACAACCTCGACTTGCTGTATGTACAGGAAATAGCAAAGTCTACTTATGGTCCCCAGCTGGCTGTGTGTCAGTGCAGGTTCCAATGGAAGGTAAGGCTGCCTGCAATAACTTCCACAAGCCATCATCAGCTTCTTATTTACAAAATATTTTTCCACTTATAAATCGGTGCGAGCATTATCATGTAAATGGCTCAGACGTGTTCTTGGAGCTTTTTAAAAACAGGTATTTCTAGCTTCAAAAAAAGTTCACGAGACATAGCAAACATGATAAAAATGTAGCAAGGACAGAGCACAGGGGCTAACAGTGATTTAATTGTTGCTTTAGTTGTACGGTATGTTGAATTCTTTCTCAAGATTTATATTCATATCAGTTTATTTACATAGAAACTGTAGTTGTGCAGAATGTCAAGTGCTGAAATAAGACTCTGAAATGCCTATAATTTTTTTGGGTATTCTGAAAACAACTAAACTACAACAAAACTCTAATGGGGAAAAATGTGCAAGGTAAATCTGATGTGGAAAGATAGAAGAACATACGTGAACCTGAACTCTAAGTCAGCCTGTGTGATGAGAAGTTTTATGGTTGGCAGTAAGTGATACCAGGCCATTAGCTCAAATCACATAAATGCCTTTCTGCATATTAAGCAGAAAAGAGATCGCAAAGATTCAACTTTTTCCTCTACACAAGGAGTGGCAATATCATTGGGGTTTGCAGCTCTGCGCCGGTGAACAATCATATGTCACCTCTTTGTGTTAAAATGACGAGTCTACAAAATCTATGCTTCTATGTGGAGTACAAAGTAACTGTAGGCTTGGGGGAAAGAGGCAGTAATGCAGCTCACCTGCACTGCCGTATTGGAGAGCAGATTGGCTCTACTGCAGCAGCAACAAAATCGAGCACCCTGTTAAGGCTTCCGAGATGGGGAGGGTATTTTTTGCAATGTGAGTGACTGACTTCAGCTACCTTTTCCTAGAGTAAGAGGGCGGACTGTCAGCTTCTTGCTGACAAACTCTGACCTGTTTCTGCAGGTGACTTCCAGATCGTCTCTCTCTCCTGGCATTCTAGTGGAGACTCCATGGCGCTTCTGAGTAAGGACAACTTTTGTGTGTGTTACTTAGAAAGAGAAGAGGTAAAATAACAGTATCATTTGCATTAAAAATGCTCCCAAGTTTGAGGAAGAATGAGGAAAGGGGTCAAACCCTATTGCCCAATCTGAAGTTTTTGTATTTATCAATTATTTATTTGAAGGAGTGTACCCAAACTCCAATGTGTGAAGTACTGTGCTTGCATTTGAATGAAGTGACGTAAAGTGTAGAGAATGAAGTCTGGATTTCAAGAAAACTTCCTTATTGATGTAGTTGAACTTTCTCTTGAACTTTGTCAACTATGAAACCTTATTTTCTAAAATTGTAGCCGTGTGTATATAATGTATAGCTATTATTTAAATTTTGTAATTTCCAATAAATATTTTGATAGTTACAAACTTGGTATGATTCTAACTATAACCCTGCACTTCGCCATTCTAAAGTCTGTTTCTATATTATCAGTGATGTGATTATGTAGCTATTTATCCCAGCACAAGGAAACGGTTATTTGCACGCAGCAGTGTACAGCTTATGTCTAGTCTTGTGAGACAAGAGATTTTTCTGGTGTATTAGAATTAAATATTGTAGCAGAGTAGATACATTGGTGAGACACCTTCTAGCAAATCAAGAACTGTTAAAGCAAAACAAATCCTTTGTTCAGAAAGCAAATGAAGTCATCTGTAATGATTTTCTAGACTAAGATGCTAACAGGTGTCAGTAATTGTGCCTGGTCTACCATAGAATTATTACACTGAATCTTTACAAGAAGGATCATAACTGATACTTTAGAGTGATATATTACAGGCAACTGAAATGGGAGCTTTTGACCTGACTATCTAGTGCCAAATTGGAGCGGACGGTTCAGCAGGGAAAGAGTAGTTGGACTATCCTTTATCTTTACCCGGAGTAACCAGCCACTGTATTCCTCAAAAGAAGGGAGCCCATTGTTTAGGCATTTATTGGATGTTTTTTCTTTTGCTACTTAATTTCACAGCCTCAGTCTCCACAAAATGAAGAATGAAGAACAAATTGAGTTGAAATTTAACTTTACTGCAAGATTAATGAAAATTAAATAGGTATCTTAGAAAACGCATTGAGAGGGGCATGCAACTTATTGCATTCCATCATGACTTCAGCTTTACATAAGTTTCATAAACACGCATCTACTTTAACTTCAGAAAAAACACCACCGCAGCACAGCACTTATTCAGCATTGTAGTTGCGCAGATAAATGCTCTGATAAAATGGCACGTATACACTTGTATGAGGTTAAGTGCAAGAATGTAGAAATCAAGATTGACGTACAGTGCTTAGTTTGATCTGTCTCCATTAAAAAGTCTGCACTGCTGCTGTCCCAAACCAGAGTAGATTTAAGAAAAATTGCTAAGAATATAAATCTAATCAAAATAGAATTCCTTTTCAGTTTTATAAATAATAGCTTTGAAGGCAAATGTGTTTGTGAGGCTTTTGGCAATATTCTCTCTCAAGAGTCTTTATTCTACGGCTGCAGCAAGAAAACATACGTAAGAAACTAGGAAGTTAGACTCAGTTCTTCGAGGGAGGTATTTTTAGAAAAAGCTAATAAATGCATATTCAGCCATATACCTCGGTTTACAAAGTAATAGTTCACGTACACTGCTTCTGAGCAGACGTTAACAGTACAGCTCTAACAAAATTTGCTGACTCTGCTGAAGAATGACTGACACAGCTTCCAAAATTCTTAACAGGCATTAATCAAAACGCCAAGATTACTGTAATTGTGAACACTAATACCTCTTTAAACAAGACAAATCAATCCCAAGCACACTACGTGACTTGACGCCATATATAGGGATACAACTGCAATACGGCATGAATGTTCTACTGTATCTTGCATATTTGTGCAGAGTGTTTGTAGCAGATACCAATCGCACTGAATTAACAGGGAAGAACATGTAGCTAGAAATGGACAATACTGCTGCTCACTAGCCCTGTATAAGAACCACTAAGAGCTGAATATTGGGTACAAAATACAAGAATGACGCTACCTTGTGTCTGCTTCGGATTAATCTGACCTGTGCATTCCCCGTAACAACCAGGGCCTCCCGTGAACTGTTAGATCTACAACCACCCCCTTCCGTTCCCCTAACTTCTTCACTTTGATTATCGAGTATTCTGCCACACAGCCTGCTCTCCCCAGGAGACCAATATCAAATCACTTTCCCTTGAAAAGATTAAATGCAATGAATTTTAAAATCCAATTTTGCCTCTCGTCATGGAGTAGCCAAGTTTGGCCTCATTGTTGATGAAGGACATCAATCCCAGGTAGGTCTCAATCAGAAGAGGACGTTCCAGCACCAGCACGCCGTTAGCCCTTCCTGGCAACGGACACTCCTTTTGGGCTTTCTTCACAGCTTGAATTAGCTGAGTTTTAAAGTTTTCCAACTGAAAGAAAAAAAATCACCTTGACGTTTTTCCATTGTTTTAAAAATTGTTAGGCAAACAGCTGCTGATGTCAAATTGTAAAGGATTAGCACTATAGCTGTAGTTGTCATGGATCTCACGTGCCATGATAAACTTTACGGTCTGACATTTAACCTTAATGATAGTTAATTTCATACCAGGACACCATATACATGTAACTTAAACACATGGGCTAGATGGGTAAAGATTTATCGGTGACTAGTATCGTTTATTTCTTACTGTAGTTCTCCTGCCCTTATCATTGATGTGTTGAACTTAAATTACCATAGTGTTCTATTTTTAAGGAAGCCTTCAGAGGAAAGCAACTATTGCAAGGAAAAACTGAGAACCACCTAAGTGAAGGTTTACAGTTAGCAGTTAAACTGTTTGTTTAATTAGCTGGCAGTCCTAGATGAAAAGCCAGGCATCGGCCTGTCAGGTATGCAAGAGTAGGAATAGCACCAAGATCCATTTTCTTTTGGGTTTTACAGGACTTGGCACTTTCAGAAGTTTCAGCTTCCTCCTTGTATTAACCATTTATGGGTAGCTGGCAAAAACTGACAGCTGGGCTGCTCTGCAAGTCAAAATTTGGAGAATGGGGAAACGTAGCTTACAGCTCTAAGTTCTGTCTCTTTGATTTAACTGCTTCTATTTGATTTAACTGCTATATCCTTTCAAAATAATCTAAGTCGTATCCAGCCTACGAGATCGACAAGCCATCTAGAATAGGAGAGGTGCTGTCCTTACTAGGCAAAGGGATGCAATGTTCTCATCAGCATCTGCCATTGGATGTTCGGTGAAGGTGACGTACGGGATGTTTGTGGACCACGGGTTCCATCTGTTTATGAAGGAGGCGCGACTTTGCTTGTCCCACTGAATTCGAATACCGATACCTTCTCGCCTGATATTGAAGACAGCGGAATTAGTATGGTAAGACTTCCGAGTCTTTGAGGCAAGTTTAATTAGAAATGTACTGTCTGAAAAAGACCTGCTTAAAGCCGGAAGCTGAAATATAAGTTTGATAGTAAGTTTTTCCTCTAGAGCAGTAATGGAAGAAGTCAGCCCCTGAAATATGCAGAGGTACGTTCTTATAAGCTGAGTGCAAAAAGGTTAAGCTCATTAGACACGTAGGACACAACGCCTGAACCGCGTTGCCTGGGATAGCCTGCGTTACCTATGACCTGACATTTACACGTGGCTTTCTAGTAATGCTAAGGTGGCACTACTGCTGCTGCGACTTACCGCATTACGTAATGGCAATGAACTTCTGCTCCCAAATCTATTCATCTTGAAAGTCCTTGAGCAATTCACTTTTAACGTAACTACTAGCCGTCCCAGCAAAACACGGCTGCTCTGCAGTGGTGTAATGAAGTTTCAGTAACTGCTTGCAAAGTCACATGAGCAAGAGGAAGAATTCTCAAGCTTGTCCAATGGTCAGTGACAAAGGTTGACAGCTCAAACTGTTTACCATAACCATACAAGAATTACCGTAACATTGCAGTATTACGATGTCAACTTACTTGTTCAGAGATTTAGGTGGGAACTCAAACTCTCCTACAGAGATGGTATCAACTGCACTGAGGGCTATCCTCGTCACATGCTGGCACTGCAGGCTGATGAAGTTGTATTTGCAGATCAGGAGGGACCAATCCGTGATAAGAACGAGACGCTCCTTCTCGTTGTTCCAGTGATCAATTCTGGTAAGATAACATGACTGAGCTTTAGCAGTTTTGATTAAGGGCTAGGAACACTTAGCAGCTTGACAGATGGAAGAGTCGCTAAGGAGAACAAATCTGAAGTCTTAGTAATGCTGTTTCCCCTTACGGCCTTTCCTTTGAATCAGCAAGTCTGCTAAGAGGTTGAATGTCACAACATAGTCATGTTACAACTTAGGAAAATGTTAAGAAAATCAGAGTAAGTCTGAAGGTCTTGAGAGCGAGCTCTAGTGCTATCTCCTGTTATTTGAGAACAAATGCTACTTAACAGGGCAGATGAGTCTCCAGCAGCTCTTCCAGTACGTGTTTAATACCGTGCTGTCAGCATGCTGCCGCATTTGCTAAATTATTAACTGCATTTGTGCATGTTCAGGAGAGAGAAATAGTTTTCTTTAACTGTGTGGCCTGACTTGGCATTTTCCTCTGTAAGGACAGTCTGTACATTCAAAAACTTGTCGGTTTCTTCAAATTTCATGAATAAAAGATCCTACCTTTCCCCGAGTGTTTTGCCAGACTACACTGTTGAACCATCACAGCTGTAATACTGTTTCATCCTTAGGGCAACCTAAGAGTAGGTCACATCTTCACTCTAAGGGTAATGAGCTCAGCTTTTAAACTAGCACCTTTGAAATCTGCTACAGCTTATTTTTAGTGTTACTGATATAATTGTTTTTCCTTACAAAAATTAAAAATTGTCTATTGTTTCAACAGGAACACTGACGTAAAGCTGACGAGGCCAAAGCCATCCTCATTGTGTAAACGTAAGTGCCAATAGTGGGACCAGGCAATGGGCTGGTGCATTTCCACCTGCCGTGAACCTTTCTCTCTGCCTCTCTCTGCCGGTTCGACTTGTGCCAGGGTGAAAGGTCTGAAACCGCCCCTGCCTTCTGCTTGCCCCAAGGAGTGCTCGGGGCTTGCAAGTCTGGCCAAGCGTTGTTCCAAAGAAGTAGGCGTGCTCGGCTCGTGCTTTGCTCCTATCCCCTAGTCCAGATTGCACCGCAAATTGTCAGCTTCCATTTTGTTCCTTGGTGACTTACAGGGCTAACGGCCTGTAACTCGGTGTGCAGGCATGGCTTTTGAGGAAATAGTTTATTAAAGCCGCGTTAGTGGTTTTAGTGTTCGAGTGAATTCTGTACTGCACTGGATTTTGTAATGAGTTAACTTAGGAGCTTTCCTCTAGATCCTTCAGTGGGTTGGATTACACAGAAATAGCGATGCGATACAGCCACCCCAGGCCACTTCAAGGCTTCCGTGTCCATTTTGCAAGACTCTAATACAAAAGCGCGCTGTGGGATGTGCGGTTTTGAAAGACGTACGTGAAATGCGGGGGTTAAACCTCGCCCGGGGTTTATCTCGCCGTGCAGAGAGAGGCGGCCTCGCCCTTGGCAGCGCTACTTACTCGGCGAGCAGCCAGACGCTTTGCACCTCCCCGTCCTCGGTGGGCGTCACGACCACGCGGATCTCGTTGACCGCTTGCTCTATCGTGCCGGGCTAAACGGGGAAAAGGAAGAGG